ACACGATTTCTTTATAACAGCGGTTAGCCAAACAGCCTATCCTTGCCCAGTTGTTCAATGTAATGTGAGTTGCGCCAATGGATACGTTCTCGATGCGAACGGATGCCAAACCTGCAAGTGCTTGGATTCATGCGGGGTCATTACCAATTTTTTTGCAAATTTTTACAATAAGATGTTTACTGGATGCACATCATTCTATTATTATTTAGTTAATTATATTCTTTGTATTTTCTGAATTAAAAGTTTTATCTAACAATTTTACCATCTACTAACATTCATAAACATTTAAATATATACTTGCACCGAAAGACGGGTTGTGGAGGGGAACAAATATGCGCTATGACTGATCTGGGCTCGTCTACGACTACATGCACGTTTCCGTTCAAACTATGTTAGTGTTTTTTGTGGTATTTGTATCGATGTATGAAACTTCTAACAACTTAACAATCAGAAAATAATTGGCCTTTTGTTAATATTGAATCACATTAGAAAATTTGCTTATTTAATAAATTAAAGTTGAAAAACGGCACTCTGTTACTGTTGAGCAATAATCTATGTGAACTACCCAAAAATCTTTCCTACGAACAAATTTTATTACTGTTTTGACTACATTAAAAAATTCAATTTCCATTGTATGTTCGGTCATTTATTCTTTCACATGCTAGAGATTTTATGATTCGTTCGCGTTCAACGGCTCATTTTCACTGAAGTTATTTCCACAAATATTTTGTTCAATTTTGCACAAATTTGTGAAACAAGTTTGAAATGAATGAACAGACATGTTACATTTGCAAACAAATGAACTAGTTATATAAGGGCACTATGAATAATTTTTAACATTAAAATTTACCATCAAACGTTTTTTTAAATGAATTTTTTATGAAAATTTAAAAACCTCACAGGTTGTCCTCCACAAAAGACGCTGATTAGTCCTTTTTATCCGTTGAACTACTGCAGTAATTGCTTCCCTGGATGTTATAAAGCTCTGTGTCCACCGGGAAAAAAGTGCTGTCCCGACTATTTCGGATGTCCTATATGCATTTGGCCAATACCCTGCACCATTCTGAGTAAGTTGGAAGCCACAAGGTTGTGAGTAGGGATCGCCAATGCAAACATTCCAGACTGAAATGTTTGATATAAGACGATGTTTAACAATAATTTTGCAACATTGAACTTTTTTTGATTTAAAGTCAGCGTATTAACATTACTTGCCATATTGTTTCAAATTTATTAAGTTTATTCTCGCAAAACTAATATATGATCAAGATATTTTATTTTGATTATTATTTTAAATTTTGTGTTTAATAAAATTTACGCTTGGCATATTCGGCATTGTTTGGTTTCATTAAAATTCAAAATTTGAAAAAATCTCAACAACGTTCGGAAAACACAGTCATCGTATTAAAATTCGCAAAATTGCGTATAAAAGTTAAAACCGTGTTTATGAACATGCAGTCAGATTTTGATCAGACAATTCTATAATAATAATTATTATTAATATTATTATCAATTTTTAATGCGTCCCATGCATAGCTTCAGAGTATATACGTATTACATGTTTGTGTGTGTATGTGCGTGTGTGTGTATGTGCGTGTTTGTGTGCGTGCGTGGGTGTTATTTTGTGCGGGCGTGTGTTTTGTGTGTGTGTGTATGTGTGTATGTGTGTGTGTGTGTGTGTGTGTGTGATAAATGATAGTTCAATGGCTTATTCGTGCTATATTTATGTATGCGTGTGTGTGTGTGTGTGTGTGTGTGTGT